TCAGGGGTCGGAGTTGCTCAGGGCTGACGTTTCTCTCTCTGATGGGGGTGATGGTGAAGGGCGCAGACCTGGACGGCCTGTGTGGCTCTGGGAAAGTCACTTCACACGGGAGTGTGAGATGCTACGCTTGCCATGCCTCCCGTGAGCGCCTGTGAACGTGCTGCTGGGGCGCTGGCGTTGTTACCGTGTGCTTTCATTGTGAGTGGACTCTTGGTTTCCAGAGCCTGCTTTGACTCACATTGTGTCATCCTGACTCCGGAGACCCCATGACAAGCTGGGCTCAGGGACTCACCGCCTGGCTCTTCATTAGATGCTGTCAGTGACAGCCAGGACCTGGCCAGGCAGCTGCAGGTGAGCTCAGGCCTTGACTTGACTGGAGGCCAGCCCGCTTCCAGCGCCCTCCTCACGCCTTGTGTGGCTATAGCCCCTGGGAGCCGGGCCCTTCCTGGATGGAGCCCAGAGGTGCCTGCCTTGCCTCTCCAGAAGGCCTGGCCCTGGCAGAGGCTCTGAGGCCGTGGGCCGAGCGTAGATGCTCTGTGGACTCCCGCGTGGAGGGAAGCCGCCGGAGCCCGGCAGCCAGGCTGGGTGCGGCCCGCGGGGCCAGCCCTCAGCCGCTGTGCTCCGCTTTCTCCACGAGAGAGGCACCAGGTTCCCAGACTCCAAGGAGTCTCATTCCGGGCCTCGTTCCTGGAGGCTCCACACTGAGAACACTGGAAATCCCCTCGTGGGGATTTCAGATGAATTTTACCATTTCTCTTAACACAGTGGTTTTATGGCCTATGGGACCCCAGGGAGCCTTGCCTAAAGCTCCGAGAGTGAGGTGATATTCCCCGGCTGAGGGGATTCAGTTTATCTGGCCTGGGGCTACGGAACTGCCAGCTGTGGCCCCGGGCAAATAGCCTCTGCTTGACTGCCGGAGGAGCCCTGCCCCGAGACTGGCAGGAAGAACGCCTTTCTTCCCTGGCACCTGCCGATGGGAGCCGAGGCTCTGATTGGCTGCAGCCTTGATTCCAGCCCCCCCCCCCGGGGCACTCCAGGGCTGTGGAGATGCCCTGGTCTGGGACTCTCCTCTCCGACAGGCTCCACATTAGCAGTCACGCCCTGGCTTTGAGTTCAAGTCCTGCTCAGATGGCGAGAAGCAGTACCCGGACAACAGCCTGCCTTACTCCTGAGCCTTCTCTGCTAATCTGCACGTGTCCTGGGGCCTCATGGCCAGGGCTCCCCCAGGCCTTGAGCACCTTTCTGAGGGGTGCACCTTCTCCCTGCTCCCCTTCCCCTCCCTGCCAGCCCCTCCTCTCCAGCCATCCTCAGGGCAGTTTTTAGCCACTGTTGGTCTGGGTAGAGAAGGAGCTGCTACCCGCATGCCCTGCCCGCTCACCCTCCTGACACCACGGGTCAGCTGAGCTGCTGGCCAGCCTGCAGCCAGGTGCCCAGAGGTGCTGGCCTTCAGAGTCCTCCCTTCCCTTCCGTCCCTCTCCCCCCTCTCCTCCCTGCCCCTCTGGACTCGCTCAGGGTCTCTGGGCTTCTCTCTGCACATGACTCCCCTGCCAGGCCGGCTGCTGGTCTCCCCTACTGTCCACACCCCCCGTGCCCGCTCGGCTGCCCTCTGCCTCCACACCACCCTGTCCTGTCACGCTCGGGCTCCACTCAGCCGCCATGCCTGCGCCACAGCCTCGCCAGCACGGCCCCGCCCGGGCCGGAGCGCAGCTCCCCGGAGCACCTCATCCCCAGCCAGCGAGGGGGCTGACCCCCGAGGCGCGGGAGACCCGCAGGCCGGATCCCTGCCAGAGGGGCTCCCCCCACCGCCCACCCCAACCAGCACACCTCCCTCCCCCACTGCTCACTCTTGCTACCCATTGAGTTGGTTTTTACCAATTCCCCAAAGATCCAGTGAACACCATTCCCCATGTAAAGCCTGTGGACCACACCGCGCGGCCCCGCGCTGGCCTGTGCAACGCCACTGCAGTACACGAGGACGGGAGTGAGCGACTCGCCTGCCATCCACAGCGAATGCCAGCACCGGCCAGGGCCCAAGCAGACAGCCACGACACCTAACCACGTTTTTAGGCTTCTACACACTTGGGCTCCCAACTGCTTGCCCAGCTCTTCCCCTTCAACTTCTAGGATCTTCTTAGCGTTTGCCTTCTTATCCTCTGCTCCTGTCTTGTCCGCTGCCGCCCGTAGCGCGGCAGAAGGAATGACCCAGCGACCACAGCGAGCAGCAGACTGCAGAGTGCGGAATCCCCGGGCACAGAGTGGAGCGCTGACTGAGAAATCTCTATGGCCTGTTTCTGTCTCCCCACCCGCCTTTTCTAGCCACCACTGTGGACCCCAGTCACAATGATGAGAGGCACCAGGTCCCCGGGGGTCCCCCATCTTTACGGCTGCTGGGAGCTGCTCTAATTCTCAAGGGCTTCCTCAGCCGGGCCGGGCTGGGCACCCTGCGGGGTCTCCTACGCCTGGGCTGTGGCCTGCAGGGCGCCTCGCGGCCCAGGCCTCCCTCGCTGGAGGGACGTGCCGCTGTAGAAAGGAGCCGGAAGTCAGCGGGGCGTGCACGCTCATACAGGGAGGTTAGAACTTGGCCTTAAAACCTTGATTTGTGTTTGCCCACTGAAGCCTCATTAACAAGAGGCAAATGAAAGTGGGGATAGTCAGTGGGACTGCGAATAAATTGGGCTTGTGCAGATAAAGGCCCCCGAGCGCCAGTTCCTCAGGCCCTGTCCAGAGCTCGATGGCAGACTGGCTTGGCCACTTGGGGTTTGCCAGGCTGAATTGTAAAGTTTTGCTTAGCGTGCGTTCCGGACTCGCTCCGAGGCAATTACCACTTGTTTGGGCCTTCCAGGGGTTTACGGACGGAAATCCTCAACCCGTGCCCTTCCCCCTTTTAGAATGACTTGCAGACCTGGGCCTGGCCCAGGGGACAAGGCTGGGCACCGAGCTGCGCTGGGACTGGGCTCTGCCTAAATTATGTGCAAGCACAGCTGTTCCTCCTCCTAGCTGCCAGTGGGCAGCTGTGGCATGACAGGAGGGCTCGGCTGCCAGTCATTCCCCGAGACTCAACCGTGTCCTCGGCCCGGCCCGAGCCACTCACGCCCAGCCTCCACCCACTCCAGCAGTGAAGATTGGGTTTGTCAGGCCCTACACCAAGAGAAGGGTGGCACCGCACTCCAAGATGGGAGCCGCAGTCTCAGGCATCCTTAGAGGCCTGGCGGGTCACAGACATGAGTGGACTGGGGCTGCAGTTGGAAAAGACGGGCTTGGATACACACAGCAGGCAGGGGTGCGCATCGACTTTCCTCAGCCTCTCAAAAGGACAGCTTGGGGCGGGGGGGGGGGGCTCCCACCAGGTTCGGGGAGGAGGCAGACATGAATTTAGCTTCCCTTGGGTTCCAGCCTAGAATTTGGTTCCATCCCCCTCCCCTTTCTTCCCCTGTGCTTTTGTGCTTTCTGGTTTTGGGTGTCAGCACTGGGGGTTGAACTCCCAACCCTACACTTGCAGGGCAAACACTCTCCCACCGAAGCCAGACTCCAGCCCAGACTGTGGTTTCTATGCCGTAGAAGACAGGAACTCTGGAGGACTGGGCTGTATGGGCAGACGACAGGGTGGCCTGGACCCCTGGCATCAGGCTTGCGCTGTCCCCCAGCCAGCTCCACAGTGTTCCAGGAAGGTCTTCGGCCTCCCCACGGACCCCTGCCCAGGACAGCCCTCCCTTCAGGTGACCATTTGCAGAGAAACAGCACAATTAACCAGGCAGTTAACTCAAAACTTGCAGGGGCTTCCTCCCACCGGGCCCGGCCAACTGAGCTGGAGTTGGCAGTGGCCAGGCCGCAGGGAAGGGTGGCCGGTGTGTCATCTGTACCAGAGGCTGAGACACTTGGAAAATACCTCCCCAGATGCCCAGCACCCCCCCCCTCCCCAAATACAGACCTGACCTGGGATTCCCAGGCTCTGGCCAGCCTTCCCAGGAGGATAAGACCTGGAAGATCACAGTTTGAAGCCCAACTCAGGCAGAAAATTCTGTGAGACTCCCATTTCCTATTAACCAGCAAAAAGCCAGACTGGAGATATGGCTTAAGTGGCAGATGCTAATGGAGAGCAAGCAAGCCGAAACTGAGGCCTGGAATTCAAGCCCCAATATCAGCATTAAAAAACAAAACAAAACATATTTTTGGCATCTCACCTCTCAGTAGCTATTTTGCTTCACAAATTCCATCCACCTTGATGAAGAGTAATTTTTTTTTGTTGTTTTGGGTCTGGTTGTGGGGCCTGAACTCTGGGCCTGGGCGCTGTCCCTCAGCTCTTCAGCTCAAGGCTAGCGCTCTACCACTTGAGCCACAGTGACACTTCCAGTTTTTTTTCTTTTTGCTTATGTGGTGCTGAGGAATCGAACCCAGGGCCTCAGGCATACAAGGCAAGCGCTCTACCACTGAGCCACCTTCCTAGCCAAGAGTAATGTTTTTTACACAAGAAACAAGTTAGAGGTACAAGTTGTCTGGAAATGGTTTTCACTCATTTTTATGACATGTCTGTTACCCTGGCTTCCAAGATGAAGCCTGTCCGAGGGAAATACAAACACCTCGGCCTCGTGTCCCCGCCAGGTCTGCACCTCACGGATGGAGTGCCTGCAGCCTCCCACAGCACGTGTGTCCCTCCAGTCCTGCGTGGAGGCAGGTCCCCCCCCCCGTGCGGGTACCTCTGGAGGCCCCGTTATGAGCCCAATTGGGCACTGTGCCAGGGAGACGATGGCCCAGGGACTGCCCCCCCCCCAAGCCCACGCGTGGCCTAGAGGATCAGGACAGCAGTGAGGCCCTGAGCAGCACCCACTGCCCTGCTGTGGGGGGGGGGGGACTTTAGGCAAGGCATGTCGGGTTCTTCCCAGGAAAGGCGGGGGGGGGGCTGAGTAGGGCACCTGCCAAGGAAGACCCCTAGCAGCGTCCTCTTCTGCCCGTGTTTGGAGGAAGCAGCAAGGCTTTAGCGCAGCCCCTGCCGTGTGTTTCAGATTGACGGGCTGGAGGAGAAACTGAGCCGGTGTCGGAAGGAGCTGGAGGCCATCAACGCCAGGCTTGACTGGGCAGAGCTGAGCCCAGAGGACAGGTAACGCCCTCTGGCCCCTCCCTGCCCACTACCCACCCTGGGCACCCAGTGTGGGCTGGGCCTGAGGCACAGGGTATGGGTCCCTGGCCTGACCCTCAGCCCATCCCCACCCCCCACGTCTCCCCAGGGACTTAAGCTATAAAACTTCGCCCTTCCACAGGCGGTCTCTGGAGAAGGAGAAGAACAGCCTCATGAGCAAAGCCTCCAACTTCGGTAAGAAAGTTCCCCTCCAACCCAGCCCCAGGATTAGGAGGGTTGTTCTTTGTTGCAAAGGAGCATAAGGTTCCCTAGTGGCTCGGTATGGTATGGAGGGGTGTGGCTGCAGCCAGGTCCAGAACCTTATGTCCACCTCGGCCCCATGTCTGTCCCCGCCCATCCCCACACCCCAAGCTGCCATCAGGAACCCCCTGCAGTGGGAACAGAGCAGCCCCCTGTGGGCATAGACCAGGCTCTTGTGGGTGGAGTGATGCTGCCATCTTCTGGGCACCCGGGGCAGAGCAGGGAGAGCCCTGACAGTGAGCAGCCGTGCCATGGATGCACCCAAGAACACCAATGCAAATCAACCCAGACCAGGCCTGGGGGGGGAGGGGGGAGGTCCTTACCCCTGAAAGTATAGCGGCGTTGGACCTCTGCCTCCTTTCTGGGTCTTGAGTTCCTGCTACGCCAGGCTAGGGAGGGCAGGTGCTGGGGAGGCCCACATGGGTCTTAGCTGCCCTCAGTTTCTCCTGGAAGGAGCCCTAATGAGTGACATTCTACCAGGACATCCCACCACCAGCATGCTTTGCCCTTCAAGTGTGGCCTTTCTGGTGATTCCAACACCCACTGCACTTGAAGAGCAGTGGTTGCTCAGAATTTGGCACCATGATTTTGTCAGCTGTGGGGCTTGAACTCAGGGCCTGGACACTGTCTCTGAGACTCTTTCTGCTCAAGGCAAGTGCTCTACCACTTGAACCACAGCGCCACTTACAGTTTTCTGGCAATTCATTGGAGACAGTCTCATAGACTTTCCTGCCTGGGCTAGCTTTGAACCCTGATCCTCAGATCAGAGCCTCCTGAGTAACTAGGACTATAGGCATGAGCCACCAGTGCCTGGAAGCACCATGACTTTTAATTTAGCCCAAATGTGCAGGTTCTGCGGCTATGGGAGATCAAGGGCACGGGCTGGAGTGGCTAAAGCAGAGTGTCTTATTCTGCAGTGTCTGAGCATCTTGGGATGGGAAGGCTAACTGGTGAGCCGACTATCCCATTTCCCCTTTCCTCCCAGAAAAGGAGCTCAAGTTGCTTCGGCACGAGAACTGGAAGAACACCATGCTTTCAGTGGCCATCTTCATCCTCCTGGCCCTGCTCTATGCACACTGGACCATGTGAGTCTGGGATTCTCTGCCAGCACCTGCTTTGCCATGGCTCTCTGCTTGGGACCAAGACCAGTGGACCAAGGTGCAGGGCACCCTTCTCCCTTACCGGTGCTCAAAGACCTGCCCGCCTGGCCCAGGCTGGCCGTGGGCCGTGTGTGTGGAAGGACACGGTGCTGGCTCCTCCTAGCGCCCAAGGGAGACGCAATAAAGAGCGCGGGTCACTCTGCTCAGTACACGTGGTGTGGCGCCGCAGGGGAAGCATCCTGCGTCAGGATGCCAAGCTCCTGGTGTAGAATTCACAACAGAGGTGGAGCAGTCCCTGGGCCCCTCCCCAGGCAGCGTGCTGCGGCCCGCAAACGCACCGCATGCCCACCACTCAGTGCCATGGCCTGTAATGGCAGAAAATAAAATGTAGCCTGTGCACTGAAGGGCAGCTCGGGGCTTGAGGTGGTCTTGGAGGTCCGAGGAGCTGAGGTCATCTGTCTTCAGGAGGTCAGCAGGGCGGAGGCCTCTGGGCTGACTGACCTATGGTGACAGCAGTCAGTAAATCAGGTGGGTTCACAAAGGTGGGGGGAGGGAGTCCGGCAGAGGGGGACAAGGCAGGAGCAGCAGACACTTGTGTCTGGGCCCACTGGAGCCGGGGGGTGGGGGGCAACGCCCGCTGAGCGAGGAGGACACTCCGGCAGGATCTGTGAAGGGTGGGCAGGCGCTGGGGGAACCCGCCGGTCAAATGCACAGCCCGGTGGGGAGGCGCAGCTAACACCTCACATCTCCCCCCACAGCACAAGGGCAGTCCCCAGCACAGGCAGAATGGGGGGCCTAGTCTCAGGGGTCGCTGACCAGGGCCAACAAAATGTCCCTCTTCCCTCATCCCTGGTCCATGACACTACCTGCTTTGTGAGTTGTTTCAATCACACAAGCTGATTCTAGACTGTGACCGTGCCACCAGCCATGTGGCTGTACTGGGGTGGGGTGGGGTGGGGTGCCTCCCTCCCGCGGGGGGGGGGGGGCTGAGTTCAGTCATTGTCTCGGGGCGGCAGTGGCAGCGGCAGCAGCGGCGGCAGGAGTCCTGCTGGGCCCCGGGCTGACCAGGCTCTGCTCGGCTGGCCACCCTTCCTCCCGTCTCGAGCAGAGCTTCCTCTCACTTCGCGTCTGAGCTGTCCCCCACACCAGTCCCCCACCTCACAGCACCGAGACAACCGGAACAGCCCCAGCACAGACACACAGGCATTAAAAATATGTTTATCTTTAATAATCCAAGATTCTGCAAGACACTGATAGACCCAGAACTGGGTGGAAATGGAGCATCTCAGGGGGGGCGGGAACTGGCTGGAGGACCCCCAGGTGGAATCCATTCCAACCTCACAGGAGCCTCAGTGCCCTATCTCCATGGAAACCAGTCTGACACAGATGGGGCCCTGGAGAGCGGACACTACGTCTCTGAGGCATTTCCCATGACAAACCACCACGGGTGCCCCCCCCGCCCCCCGCAGCGCTGCCCAGCTTCTCTCTCGCTCTAGAGGAGATGGACTGGCGTGTGGCAAACAGGCCGACGGGATCTCCTAATGGCAAGGAAAAGGATAGCAAGCAGCTACCTCCACCTCAAAACTTGGCCAAGATGAGGGTAGCAGGGCAGAGGCCGTATGATTGCCAGAGGGCTGGAGGTACCCCCTTACTTGTGGGGCCCCTGCTGCAGCGGGAATAGAAGGCAGGTCTTCAAGGCTGCCTCCTGCCCTCCGAGAGCTGCCTGGCATCTGGTGGGCCCAGGAGAGTTCTAGCCACACCTAGTACCAAAGACCACACACCTGGTTCCCAATGTGGGCCCTCAAGCCTCCTTCCCGGCCTGCAGGAATTCTCAGAGGTCCAGGCTGGGGAGGACTCCAGGAGGAGTGGAGAGGAGACGAATGAGCATTAAAACAGCAAGAGACAAAACCTTGATTTATACAACAGCTATCCTGGCCAGCTCACGACAGCGGGCCTCTGCCCACTCAGGGTTGGCCCAACATAAGTTGGGCAAAGCAGGGGCCTGGCCACCCTCAGGGGCAGTGCATGGAACTCAAAAAAGTGAGTCTACAGGATTCCAGAGGGAAGGCAGAGCCCAAGCCTTCCGCTCTGCCGTGTGTTACCCCTCAGGAGCACTTCGGGCTGAGTCCTGGTGGGGAAACGGTTCCCAGGGAATGTGTGGGGAGGAGGCCACCCTCCCTGTGGCCAGGTCAAGAAGGTACCAGTGGCGCAGGCCCCGTGCCAGCACTCGGCAGGGGCCCAGCGCACAGCGATCCCAGGCCTCAGGCACTGTGCCTCTGGATGAAGGAGAGGACGTCCTCCTTGGACAGCTTGTCTGGGTCCTGGGGCTTCTGAGAGTCGTGCACACGGATGCCATCTCCCCACTCCCAGAAGAGCCGGCCATAGTAACAGACACTGGGAGGGAGTGTGAGGAGACATCAGGGGCTGAACTTAGGACCGAGAGACGGACTGCTAGCCCACCCCGGCTTCCAGGACTTAAGGCAAGGATGGTTTAAGTGCGCGTGTGGGGCGGGGGAGGTTCTGTCGGTGACTCCGGTTGAGGGTCTTCTCTGCAAGCCACCAATTCCTTCAGCTCCTCCCAGAACCTGCTTTTTCCAGCAAACTGCTGCTGCTGCTGCTAATGGCATCCAACTGGTGCGCATGCGCACTAGGCGTCCTGGTTTATCTGTCCGCTCCCCTGGGGCCGCCCAAGTGTGGTGACCAGCAAGGGTCGTGGCTCATGTTAGGCACACTGGGCTGCCATCAAAACCTGTGACTAGCACCCTGGCAAACAGATGCTGCTCCTGACAGAGCCTGCCATCCCAAAGGACAAGGTGGAGCCCCTCAGCACGTCCCCGCCGCCAGGCCGGTGTCAGATGTCATAGGAACAGTGGCTGCTCTGTGGGCCCTTCACACCTGGGACCCCCCCCCCCCGCCTTCCTAGCAGGCAGGCCCAGGCATCGCTCTCTTCACTGAGCTCACTACCAGGCTCAGCCACACCTGTACCAGGGACCAGCCTCGGCTCTGGCTCCCGCAGGAGGACCCAGACTGCTGAGGGGTGGCTTGGAGAAAGCTACTCACTGAAACGGGGCAATGGAGTCTGCCGGGAGGCTGAAGGTGGATGTCTGGGTTTTCTTGTTGTAAAAGAACTTCCTCTTGAAGCTTTTGCTAAATGCCATAGTCCATGGCTCTGTGAGGAGAAAGAGCAGAATTGCTCAGAGAGGATGAAGCACCCAAGATCCAGGGGCTGAGCAGCACAGGGGGCCACACCCCTCCCAGGCGGGGAACAGCCGTGAGGAAGACCCCTCAGCGGCCTCACCCCCAAGAGGCAGCATCGCCGCTTACAGGGGTGACAGGGACCAAGCTGGTCTTCCTGGACCTGCTGCCGCCTGCTGAGAGCATCACGCAGGCCTCTATCTTTCAATCTACAAGTTCATCTTCCATACCCCAGCTCCCAGCCCTGGGAGAACAGAAGAGGCCCAGGGAACACAATGCCTGTACCACGTTCCTCAGCAAAGTGCTAGCCTGGTCCCGCCCACCTCAGCAGGGAGCCCACAGCACCGGCTCTGGCAGGGGCTGGCCAGTGAGCCTGGCTGGGAAGGGGTGGGCACAGCAGGCAGCCACTCATCACCCACCGTTCACAGTCCTGACGATGTAGAGGCCTGTGGGCACGAAGTGACGGTCGTCCCGCCCTGTGTAGCTGAGCCTTGGCGTGCCGCTGGAGCCCTTGATGATCTTCATTTCCAACCTGATTTCCCCAAGCAGTGTGCACACAGGAATGAAGGGACAGTGAGAGAGAGGGTCTAACGTGAGTCCCTGGCTAATGTCATATTCCCCCAACCACAGTATTCTGTCCTGGCTGGTTTGACAGAAGAGATGGAGGCACCGACTTCAGGGAACTGCTGAGCCACACAGGGATAGAGTCAGTGGCAGTGCTGGGCTTAGACCTCAGGCTCCAACTCCCCAGCAAAGCAGTGGAGACAAGGGAGTGAAAAATAATCCAGTACGTGAGACCACTATGTGAGACCACGGGAGTCTACCGCCATGGCAGGCTGTAGCCACATGAGAGTCGGGTTTGAGCAGCACATGTTGCAAAGAGTCCAGAGCCATAGTTATGCCCCTCTTCCCCCTCCAGGCTCAATCTGGATCTCTGCACTATGAGCGGGAATTTATGGCGTTTCAAGCCGCTCGCCGCTCTGCCCCTTGCAGGGACAAGCGTAACTATTAGAGCATCAGTGAGCCTGTATTTCTGCCCTGCCTGCTCCTGACAGATGCTGAGTCAGCTCATGGCCAGGACTCTGGGCCACTTGGGAGGCAGTGGGGGGGGGGGTAATGGTGGTACCCGGGCCAGCGCTCCTCCCCACCACAGTAGAATTAGAGTAAACCCTGACCGCCCCCATCCCACCTCCCCTCACATCACCTGACAAAAATCTTCTCCATCTCCTCCAGCCTGTAGACCTCCTTCACCCTGTGTGGGGAGAGGGGGAGACACAAGTTGGTGAGGACCCGTTCAGCCAGGAAACAGGTGGCAGAAGGTGGCATGCCTACTCTACCCTCAGCTCCTCCCTGCAACCAGCAGCCCACCAAGGCAACCCAGCTTCTCCAGCCTGCCCCAAGGCACAAGGGTCCTGAAGCCCAAGAGAACGGAGTAAAGGCCTGACCAGCACTCCCACCCTGAGGTCGTGTTCACTGCCGCCAGCAGCCAGAAATCCGAGGCCCAGTTCTCACTCAGGTCTGCCTATGTAGCGTTCTGACGTTCTATAGCAGAATGATTCTAAACAGTCCTAATTGTTGTGTTAGCCATAGCGAGGGAGGCCCTGACCAGGGTTCGGGCTCGTGCTTCATGCCTGGCCCCCAAATCTGAATTCGCCTCCCAAGAAGGGGAGGTGCCAGAGATCCAGCAAGCAGACAGCAACGGAGGCAGCCCAGGCCCAGGCATCATGCCACGCAGACAGAGCTTGCTTCCAGACTTTCAGAGGATATCTAGGAAATGCATTCTCAATGCTGGATTTAATTTTAAGTAGATTTACATTAAAATGAATAATAACCTTGATAAAGTATAAATAGATACCTCAGTCTCTAGTGACAAGAAGCCCCAAGGGGCA